TCTTGAAAGAATCTAGATTTGAACGTTTATGTGAGATCTGAATCTCTACCGAACGCGCCTTACAACAAGCCTCCTCACATGTCAAATACGCACACTAAACTATGTCGGGTAAGATTTGGGTTTCCATCCATATTTGTTCGTTTTCATATTCGCACGTATTCCATTTGCATCTCCGTTTCCAGCTATCCTTGTCCCGTTCTCATTTTTGACATATCTAGTATATGTCGTTTTCATTCCCATTTTCAACTATACGGGTCCCCTTCTTTATTTTCGTTGATTAAATACATTAATAGAAATAATTAATAAGTCTTTTTTGCTAGTTTTGTGTCAGCTTTCATCCCTAGTTGGCAAACAGGTTGCCGAACTGCACGAGGGACGACAGCACCACGTAACCTCACTGCCACGTGGCTTTTGTAAAATACTCTCTCTATAGAGATCTTGAGAGTCAAAGCATATCCAGTTTGACCGAACACGAGTCAAATTGAGTTATACTCAATTCCATTAAACATTAGAACCAAGCAAAATCGCCAAACAAGAGTTTACTTATAAAGTCAGGGGCTTGGCTCATAAACACAGAACGCTTGCTCCAAGAGTGGCCAAACAATCTGCCACCAAGTTATATTTTTTCTATTATTATAGGTTAAGATTATACAGGAAGTAAATTCAGATGGCATAAAGTCTCTAATCTATCAGTTAAGCATCCAATTGAACTCCCATCCATCTACACAAATTTCGGTACTGACGCTAGGACCGCTACATCTGTTTCTAGAACAATATTGATCCTGCCTAGCTGTACAAGTAGATCGAGGCCCTTTTCAGTGGCAGGCGTTATGGGCGTGTTCGGCTGGCTTAAAGCCCAGCCGGCTGGCTTGTTTCGCCACTCACGAAATCACTGTTCACGTCCTACCAGAACAGTATTTTTTTCTCATAATAATCAGCCAGAACAGTATTTTTCAGTCCTGCCGAACAGTCAACGCGGGACCACGTTTCCGATCTACGTATACTCCGTACCTGGTAAGGGCCTGTTTGTTTCAAATAAGTCACCTACTTATAAGTTAAAAAGTGAAATAAATGATTATTTTGTCAAACATCATCAATTTATAAGTCACTCCTGCTTATAAGTTTTAAGTTAGTTCACCCCTGCTTAAAACTTATAATTCACCCTTTTTCGCGTGGGACCCACACTTTTAATGAGCTTATAAGTCATCTACAACCAAACAAACATGACTTCTAAGCTATTAATTTTCAGTCACCTGACTTAACGAGTCACCTCACTAATGCAAATCAAACAGGCCCTAAGCGGCTAGGCGCTTCCAGACTTCCAGTTGCCCTGCCTCAGGGTGGGCGTTCGGTTCTCGGTTCGGTTCCTTCGGTTATCGAAGAAATTCGGTTCCTAAAAAACGGGAACCGATCGGTTCCAAAAATTTTTAGGAACCGAGCATTTCGGTTCTCGGTTATTTCGGTTCGGTTCCGGTTCTAACCGAACTAACCGAATTTTTTCAGAAGACCTCAAGACAATAATAAATATAATTGTTCTAAGGCAAATTTGTGCAACACTATATTCATTTTTAATAATAATAATATATAAGAAAACAATAGCAATATAGTAACACAAATATATAGCAGTTCAAATATAAAACACTACACATAATCCTACAAAATACAAGTAAGTGAAGTATAATTCATGTAATTCGGTTCTTTCGGTTAATTCGGTTAACCAAGAGTAGGAACCGAATTTTCTTCGGTTATTTCGGTTCTTCAATATCAGGAACCGAATAAGGAACCGAAATTTTCGGTTCCGGTTCTTTCGGTTCGGTTCTCGGTTATTTTTGCCCAGCCTTAGCCCTGCCCCGCACGATACGACACGTGGGCACATGAGTGAGGGGGAGGGCCCACCCCACGGTGACCACACGATAACAAGAAGCAATCGCACTACCGACGCGAGCACCACCGTTTCCGAGCATCTTCTTCCTGCGGGATTCGAAGCGGAGCGGAGCCCCACACCACACCCCCTCACGCCTCCTCACGTCGTCGCCACCGCAGATCCGGCCAACGGCCCCTGACCCGACCGATCGACCCCCCTCCCCCTCGGCGCGGCGCAGGTGAGGCGATGATCCGCCCCTCCGGTCCCTCCCCACCCCCCTCCTGCTTCCCCACCTCTGCGCTGATCTGGTCCAATCCGCCTGCAGAGCCGAGTCGGACAACACAACAGAGACCACGAGGCGTCGTCGCGGAGCAGCCGGAGCCATTTTCGCTGCTCCCCACCACCTCCCGGTAAGGGATCCCGCGGCCTTTTTGCTCCTCCTGTTCCGCGGCGTCTTCTGCTTTGGTAGTTTCTTCCCCAACCCCCTACGTGGGAGTGAGTGAGAGAGGTGAGAGAGCCCCGTCCGTTTCCGCCGTCCCCAGCGAGCGGCCTCACAGCACCTGCAGCACTAACCCAGCGTCTTCACGCTCTTCCGGGACCGGGGCCGGCAGGGTCCTCTGCTGCTGCCTCCAACCCCCTCGAGTAGTTTCTTAATTAATACGTAATATATTTTTTTTCTTGTTTCCTCCAAAAAAAAAATTCTTCCTCTTGCGGCGTTGGCATGCTGCTCTGCTGCCGCGCATCACGCACAGTGCACCAGCAAGTGCCACGCCTCCGCGGCCTCACATGCCCCTCGTTTACCTATCAACCGCGCTATGCTCTGCCACTGGAGTCCCCATCCACCGCGTCCAGTTAAATTGCATGTTCCCTGGGAGAAATCCATGCCGGAGGCCACGTCTGTTCGTTTCATTTAAATGCCTCTTGTTTTACTTAGGTGGCGTTGGGATACTTGGATATGGAGGGTGGGTTAGGGAAATGAGGGGGAGGATAGATTTTATCCCATGTTTGGATAATAGGAAAGGGAAATGAGGTCAGATAGGGATAGGGAAATACAGCTGCCATGTCCCAGTGATCTAAACCCGATGGGAGGGGTGGGTTTCAAATGGGAAATGAAGCTGTTGCGCTATCAGACATCTTCAATTCGATGGGTGGGAGGATGAAGAGCAGCCATACTTGGTGGAGGCGCTCCTCATCTCGTCGAATGGGAGCTACTGGTGTCGCCGCTCGGGCCGCCGAAGCCAAAGCCGCTCGCATGTGCCGTGGCGCTGCTGTAGCACCCGCTCGCCTCAGATGCGCCACGTCACCGGAGCAGCAGCGGCTCGCCTCGGATGCGCCGCACCGCCGGAGCAGCAGACGCTCGTCTCGGCCCCGCCGCAGCCGCACCGAGCCGCTGCCGCAAACCCGCGGGCCGCCCGAGCCGCTGCCTCCCACGCACTCGAGCTGCTTCCTCTCGCGCTCTGCTCACTTTGGTCTCGTGCGGCCGCCAGGCAGAAAGTAGAACTGCAGAAGCTAACGCCTGGGAGGAGCAAGTCGGAGGCCAGAAGATTGTAGATGGGCCAAGAGGGAGAAGATGTATAGTTATTTTATATTCTAATTTTAGTGGGCCCCACAATGTATCCCTAACCCAAACCATGAATAATCCAAACATTAAAAGGGCAGACCCAGTGCCGGAGGCTCCCACATGAGTGGGGTATGGGGAAGGGAAAAACCGAGGCAAGCCTTCCCTCCGCAAAAATCTGCGGAGAGGTTGCTTCGAACCCGTGACCTGGTGACTCAACGAGACAGCTCTCACCGCTGCACCAGGCCTGCCCTTCATGAACAATCCAAACATTGGTTAAGGATATAAACCTTGTATCCCTAACCCATACCATGTCTTTCTTATCCCACTATATTTCTCTATCCCTATCCCAACCCCTATCCAAACGCCACCTTACTACTACTATACTATATCCGTCTATCCTCACGAACCCCGTTGCCTATCATCATCATCATCTCCTGGTCAACTTCGTTGCTTCTTCTATCTACTTGTAATAAAGTAAAGCAAGCACGGATTTTTCTAACGCTGTCCTGTCATGTGCATCAGCGGCTGGCTGATTCTACACACCAGTCCACCTTCCTTGCACCTGGTCTCAGTAAAAGGTTCTTGCTTTGGCTAGCGGCCTAGCGCCAAGTCTTAAGCCATCGCTGCTCATATTCTGAGCAGATTGAACCCACCCATATTAAACATTTCTTAATTTTTGTGGTTACAAGAACACCCTTTTACCAATCTGTTATTCTGCCTAGTGGCGTGGTACTGGTACCCCCCCACGGTAGTAGTTCCCCATCATGGATCATCACCCATGTTGCACTCGCTCAATGTTTATCTACAGATTCAAGTGCATCAGAGTTGTTACTTTTATAACATGCCAACACGCATAACCCTGTGGTTACTTTTTAGTATGCAGTAAATTTTGTCAAAAAGTTACTGTCAATGCTCCAGATATAATTCAGAGTTCAGACATGTCAATTTTAAAAAGAATTGCTACAAATGACGTACCGCTGTTGAAACTTGAAATGATTTCTGAGTCTGTTAAAAATTAGGTCTATTGATGCGACAAGTGCCTCTAGTCTCACTGCTATCCTCGCCATCAAAACCGTGGTACTTGTGTTGTTGTGACTCCCTGTCCATCATGATGCGCTGGGCAGCTTCATCGCTTCACCTAAAGTAAAGCAAGCTGCAGTTTTCTAGCTCATTTTGCTCTGTCCTGTTCGTCATGCGCAACACACCTTTATATTACTGAGCTTTGGAAGGTTCTTGCTTTGACATAGAGCTAACTCTGAATCTGTCTGCTCAGATGCTGAGCTCATTGATGACACCCTAATTTTGTTAAATTTTTGTAGTAGTTAGAATAATGCCTTTTTTCCTTTCCATTATGCTGCCTAGTGGTGTGGTACCCACGGTAATATTCCCCCATCGTGGATCATCACCCATGTTGCACTCACTCAATGTTGTTATGCACAAATTCAAGTCCATCAGAGTTGTTACTTTTATAAGTTATAACATGCCAACACGCATAACCCTGTGATTACTTTTATGCAGTCAAATTTGTCAAGTTTGTCAAGTTACTGTCTGATGCTCCAGATATAGTGGAAAACCATGGGAGAAGTTAGTGATGATAATTCCAACATGTCCTTTCTAAAAAGAATCGCTACAAGTGACGTACCACTGCTGAAAGAGTATGGTGTCAATGGAGTTGTCATCGCCCTGCTTCTGGCTGTAGTTACTCCTGTCTTGCTTTCCATGATGTTTGGTAAGAAGACAAAGCAAAGGGCGGTGCGAGCTGATGTGGGTGGAGAGGAGGGATTTGCCATGCGGAACAGTAGGTTTTCATCCTTAGTTGAAGTCCCTTGGGAGGGCGCCACCACAATGGCAGCTCTGTTTGAGATGGCCAGCAAAAAGTACTCTCGACGGAGGTGTCTTGGCATGAGGAAGCTAATTAAGAGGGAATTTGTGGAATCTTCTGACGGTAGGAAGTTTGAGAAACTGCACCTTGGTGAATATGAATGGGATACCTATGCTGAGGCATTTAACCGTGCATGTAATTTTGCTTCTGGGCTTATCAAGATGGGCCACGACCTAGATAGTCATGCTGCTATATTCTCTGATACAAGAGCTGAGTGGATCATTGCTGCTCAGGTAATGGTATCATGCATGCCATTGTATCAGGACATTTGTTTGAACTTGTGAAGCTCTCTGACTGTAGTATCATCTTTTTTTCTTTTCAGGGATGCTTCCGACAAAATTTAACTGTTGTAACAATATATGCATCTCTTGGTGAGGATGCATTGGTGCATTCATTAAACGAGGTACTGTGGATTTGGTGCACACAGCGTTTTTTTTTGTGGCATTTTTCCTTTGTCTCTATACAGTTGAGAACTATGCAATTACGTTTGTCTATACTCTTCATTTAACTTGATACCTGTAGAAAAAACCTGTATGCCAGCTGTTTATAAGTTCTTGATGGCCGTATATGAAAGTGCTTAACCAGTATACATTATTTGGTGCCCAAGTGTTAGTATTGAAGGAATTCGATGAGCGGCAATTCATTTGTTCACACATCTTAAATACTCTTCTGTCGAATTTCAGACACAGGTTTCAACTCTGATATGTGATTCGAATCAACTTAAGAAGATACCTGCAATCAGCTCTAAATTGCAGAGTCTTAAGCATATTATCTATATTGAGGATGAACCTGTTGAGGCTGAGACACTGAATCAAGTGAAGCATCTGACAACATTGTCTTTCACTGAAGTAGAGGAACTAGGCAAGACATCTCATGTTGATGCAAGGTTACCTTCAAGCTCTGATACTGCAGTTATCATGTATGTATACAAGCGAAGTACTGACCTTCCCAAGGTATACTGTTGATCAAAGCTTTTGCAATTTCTTATGCATTCATAATCTTGTAATTTGCATGAACATAAAAAAAAAAGATAAAAGGCGACTGGTGCTCAATAAAAAAATCAAAACCCACAGTTGGTCCCAATATTTGCTTGGATATATATGAGTTTCCTTGCTTGATACAGAATCTACAGTGTCAGGACCAATTGGGTCATTAAGAGTGATGTGGGACAAATGAGCCACATCTTAATGTTCATTGCAGCATTTTTTTTGTCTAATGCATAGATAATAACTGACACTGCAAAATTTATAGTGGATAAAGCTTTCACTTGACATTGCTTCTAAAATATGCATAGATATCAAGCTCTGGTGCAAGTGCACTAAAATGCGTAAGATCTAAAATGCGTAAGATCCCGGTCATACAAGAAGGGATCGAGTTCGGAACGATGATATACGTGATAGATTAGGGGTAGCGCCAATTGAAGAAAAGCTTTTCCAACACCGGTTGAGATGGTTTGGACATGTGCAACGGAGACCGCTAGAGGCACCGGTGCGTAGTGGAATCCTAAGCCAGGATAGTAACGTGAAGAGAGGCAGAGGAAGACCGAAGTTGACTTGGGTAGAGGCAATAAAAGGAGACTTGAAAGGATGGAATATACCCAAAGACTTAGCCTTAGATAGGAGTGCTTGGAAGACAGCTATTCACGTGCCTGAACCTTGATTGCTTCTGATGGGTTTCAACTCTAGCCTACCCCAACTTGTTTGGGACTTAAAGGTTTTGTTGTTGTTGTTGTTGTTGTTGTTGTTGTTGTATATCATGCCACGTTGACTAGTTAGTTATGTTGTAGCATGTTAGGGGTTTAGTTTCTTCCTATGATTTTTATTGCTGAAATCATTGATTTACCAGGTGTTTTTCTCTCCTGTAATTTATTTATTCATTTTGATGTAGGGTGTAATGATCACACATGGCAACATTGTGGCCACAACTGCAGCAGTCATGACAATAGTCCCAAACCTTGGCATGAATGATGTTTATCTGGCTTACCTTCCATTGGCTCATGTCTTTGAACTAGCAGCAGAGGTGATATATATTATAATTCATATACATGCAGTTTTACAAGAGTTGTGCTATCTTTAATGATATGATGTTGTTGTCAATCCAGACTGTCATGTTAGCTTCTGGTACTGCTATTGGATATGGTTCAGCATTGACTATGACTGATACATCAAACAAGATTAAGAAGGGGACAAAAGGAGATGTTTCTGTACTGAATCCTACTCTTATGATTTCAGTTCCTGCAATTTTGGATCGTATCAGAGATGCTGTGTTTAAGAAAGTGAGTTTATTTTCTGAATTTTGTATTTCCACCAAATGTCATTGATTGGCATTGTTACCGTTACAATATTCTATGTATATGGTAATTATAACCTAGTGTAGAGTGCTTTGTGCTGTATAGTCATCCCCTTGTGCTCAGCTCTTTGTGATACAACTATGCTGAATTGGTAGAAGCGTCACATAACTTGAGCAAGCTTTAGATTTTGAGTACCTCCCTCTTGTGGCATATCTTGTGACACCTTTAATTTTGTGGCTAGAACATGAGGTCACTGTTAAGAGAGTTCCTTTGTTTCATGTGGTAGGGTTTCCAGGCCAGTTATACAAGGTCACATACCATACAGACCATCATGCTTCTTTGAATTAGATTTGCACAATGATTTTCAATAACACATAATTAACTGCCTTCAATGGCATTAATCACATGGGATCATGAGTAAGCAATCAACTATTTTTCATTGTAAAAACTAACGTTTCTATTTCTCTTTCCAGGTTGGTGAGAAGGGTGGCCTGGCAAAAAAGCTGTTTGATTTTGCATATAAGCGAAATCTTGCAGCAATTGAGGGGAGTTGGTTTGGATCTTGGGCACCGGAGAGGATGATATGGGATAACATTATTTATAAACCAATACGGGCAATGCTTGGAGGACGTGTAAGATTTGTTCTTTGTGGTGGTGCACCTCTATCAAGTGACACACAAAGATTTATGAATATATGTCTAGGGTAATGTCTTCTGCCCGGCTTATGTCAAATTACAATGTATTGTCTCAGCTGATCGAATGAATGGTATAATGTGATTTTTAGTTATGGAAGAGTATATCGTTGATATTCTATATGCCGCTAGGCTCAGAATCTGTAACTAGTTGCTATACAGGAAACTCTTAAGCATAGTTACTGAGTGATCTTGGTTCGTAGCAGCTGTAAATTTATTCCTATGCATTTGACTAAGGATTGTTAGACTGAATTTACAATCATAGTTTGCTTATAAAAGCCCTTGACCAGTGTTCTCATTGAATGTACACAAATTACCAATTTCATGTGACATGCTCATATTGGGTCCAGGTCCATGTTATCTGATTCTTCTGTCATTATCAATTGGCTTAGTTCATTCTTAAATATCTGAGTTATTATTCTGAATATCCTTGCCAATTGAAAGCTGATAAACTGAAGAATATTAATCAGTGAATTTATATCCAATTGCATATGTAACCCATGATTTTCCTGATAAGATAAGGTGTTTCCTATGTTTCTTGTCCTTATATGCTACTTAATTGTTGCTGCAGTGTCCCAGTGGGTCAAGGCTATGGATTGACTGAAACTTGTGCTGGAGCAGCTTTCACTGAATGGGATGACACAAGTGTGGGTCGTGTTGGTCCACCGCTTCCTTGCTGCTATGTCAAGGTTTGTGTTTACAAATTTGATGTTTGCTGGATAGTAGTTAACAAATATACTTGATATTCATGTGGCGGATGTTAGCAGATGAAACCTGCATTAAAAACAATGAGTGATTGATTGGCGTATCTGGGGGTGTCATGCTTGGCACCTCTTTTCTGGATGCACTTGGTCAACTGCATGCATAGCTTAGAATTTTACTTTTTCAATGGCATGCTTAAACTTTCCTGTTAAATACTTGCCCCCAACCATTCATCTCTGATGTTGATTCCCTAATGTGTACACTGAACACGTCCATTTTCCTGAAAGACTTTCTGTTGTCTTACCAGCATGCCCAGGCCTTAGTTATCTGTAATTCCTTTTTTTTGTCGAACCAATGTAGCTTGTTTCGTGGGAAGAAGGTGGTTATAGGATTTCTGATTCTCCGATGCCGAGAGGAGAGGTCGTGGTTGTTGGACACAGCATAACAAAAGGTTATTTCAACAATGAAGCAAAGACGAATGAAGTATACAAGGTAAGACTCTACTAGAAGTCCAGAACATTATAGCCTTAAGTATTCACTTTTTTTCCATTTCACGTGACCTACAGGTTGATGAGAGGGGCATACGCTGGTTCTACACTGGTGATATTGGTCAGTTCCATCCTGATGGGTGCCTTGAGATTATTGACAGGAAAAAAGATATAGTAAAGCTTCAGCACGGAGAATATGTGTCTCTTGGCAAGGTTTGTTTTTTTAAAAAAAAAAAATTCCTACTGTGAATATTTTGTTGAAGAGTGATTTACTGTCTCTCTTTGCAGGTTGAATCGGCTCTGGCAACAAGCAATTATGTGGAGAACATCATGGTCTATGCTGATCCATTTCATAATTATTGTGTTGCCCTGGTTGTTCCAGCACACCAGGCCTTGGAGAAGTGGGCTCAAAATTCTGGGATAAACTATAAAGGCTTTGAAGAGCTTTGCCAAAATGATCAAGCAATTAAGGAGGTTCAGCAATCACTATCAAAGGTTAGACAACTCAACTGAAGGAGTCTTACATACACGACTAAAAATTATACTAGCATAGTTGCTGCGTCAAAGGAAGAGTACCTCATTGGTTTACATAGGCACAATTTTGCATTTCAGATATTGCGGTGTGTTTTGGTTTGTCTTTCCTAGTACAAGCTACAATCTTGAAATCTTTTTACCATGGTGGGAGCATACTGTAACCACATGTTAGTCATGCTAGGTTTTTGTTTATGTTGCAACGGTGGATTAGAGTCCATTTTTATTTAGTTTTAGAAAGGTGTCATGATCCTACTGTGCAGGCCGCGAAAGTAGGAAGGCTCGAGAAATTCGAGGTTCCAGCAAAGATCGTGCTGTTGCCTGAACCGTGGACGCCGGAGTCCGGGCTGGTGACGGCAGCGCTTAAACTGAAGAGGGAGCAGATAAAGACCAAATTCAAAGACGATTTGGACAAGCTCTATCACTGAAGAAGCGACAGACGGTTTGCACCTACGCGTCCAGCAGCTTGCGTTGCCAAGAGGCAAGAGCTGCCTGGATGAAACTTACTGCACGAGTGGTGTGCGTGCGTGTATCCTTGCCGATATACGGGAGCTTGTTCTGTGAGGAAAAATAAGCCCAGTGTTGGAACAAGATCTTGATTTGTATAGCTTCACGTCGTGGGAATTTAGTTTTGTTCTAGCCATCAACATAGAGGATGCTCAATTTCACGTCCGTTTGCGGCCAGTGTTCTTTTTCCCTTATGAGTCATGACGCTAAGTGTATTGTAAATGATGTTTATTTCTGGACCTTTGTTGCTTGGTAATCTGTCTTCTGTATACAAAATAAATAGGCACTGGACACATAACCAAAGTTTAACAGATGTAATGCTATGATTAGAGTGTCCGGACGCCGGGAGTCCCTCCGAACGCATCGCTAGGTGGTCTCACCTATTGTATTCACCACACGTGAAAACTTTGATACTTCCCCCTCAAATGGCTATTCACACTTATCTTCTCCCCTTCCATCTTGTGTCTCTCCTTCATGTCTATGTAAAATCACATCACCTCCCTAGCCTGTTCCCCAACCCCAGCGTTGATGGGATGTCTTGCTGCCGCCGCCCCTAGCCGATGGCGCCTCAGGTCGTCCCTGGCCGAGCCGCACCCACAAGCACGACCGGTGTTGGTGGTTCTCGCTCGCCGCCGGCTTCCACCCCGACGGCCGGAATTGACAAGCCCGACATCTCCCTCCGCTATGTTACAAATGTAAGTTTTAAATGTTTCAGATGTTTAAGTGGTATGTTTCCAATTTTCATATGGATGTTGCAAAAGTAGATCGGGATGCTGCACATGTTGCAAGTGTTTCAGAGGTATGTTGCAAGCGTTTGTTGAAAATGTTTCATCTATCTTCAATCTTATATTGTAGCAAGTTTTTCATGTTGCAAGTTGCAAGTGTTTAATGTTGCATATGTTTCACACATATGTTACAAATATATGTTCTAAATGTTTTATCTGTTTTAGACGTATGTTGCATTTAAGTGTTTTATGTTGCGATATTGTTCAGAGAGTCATGGGGGCGCAGTGAGTGATGGGCGCACGGACAGGGCGGGGTGCGCGTGCGGGGCGACGAACGGGGGCGGGCTGCTCGAAAGCCCCGTTGCTTCTTACGCGCGCGGCAGCCGTCCGATGCTAGCGTCCTGGAATGGACGTCCAGGCGCTAAGTCCATGTATATATGCAGACAATTTGTACATCTGCCCTATTTTCCCCAATCTCGATCAGATCTGATGTTGTGCAAGATAGGATAGGATCTTGACGTACACAAGTGGAACCAAACAAATTTGGCCCCGTTCGATTCGCTGAAAAAGCTGAAACACTGTTCCGGCTAATTTGTTGTGAGAGAAAAATACTGTTTCGATTGAAAAAACAAACTGAAAAGTACGGATTATAAAACGAACAAGGCCTTTGTCCTGTCACGTACTCACAGGGCGGAAGTAAGGAAAGAAGTCCAGAAGATGAGTCCTGGCCCAGATAAGAGTATCCAGCTCGACCAAGCCAACGTAAGAGCTCATTTGGGCCAATACGTACATGGGCCTGAAAGCATCACTCTGTCCTGAATTGATAATTATATTTTCTACAGGAAAAAAATTAAATATTTACAAATAATTATTTAAAGTACATGAAAATTTAGGACAGCAGACTTGTATTAATAGATTTTTATTTAAAGTGCCTCTGAGGTGGTATCAATTTTTTTTTTCTTGAGTACACAAAACATTTATGCATCATTTATTAACGTAGAAGAGTTTACAATATCAACACAACGTGTTTGCCAAAGCGAGCTCTCCCGACCACTTTCTCTGGAGAAACATACTACCGGGTTAAGCGATCTAGGAAGAGACAACGACACCAACACTATGGTTTAGGTTTTATGAGGTCACGTTTGGATCCACAGAACTAACAACCAATTAACTAGTTTTTAGTCGTTAAGTATCCAAACAAGCGGACTAATTATTAATTTACTAGTCATGAACTAGTTGTCAGTTCGCTTGTTTACTTATAGGAGCTAATAGGACTAGTTGTTAGTTCTAGTCCATCCAAATAGACCATTATTGCTCGCTAAACAGGCAACCTAGATTGACCACGCCAGCATGCACCCACCCATTGCTTGGTTTCATGCTTGCATTGATCGTCCGAAGAGGTTTTTCGACTTGCCATTCGGGGTTCCCGAAGCATATTGCATTCCGTTCCTTCCAAATCTCTCTTGAGACCAAAATATATAACAACACATTGTAAGAGGAATAATTAGTGGTCAAAATATATTTTGTATGACTTTTTGCTAATGATGAAATACGTACGTTTATCCCACAACACTTTACTTATTGCTTAAATAACAAAGCTCATTTTGTTTGGTACTAGCGTGAACAAGGTCTTTTGATTCGGTACATATATATACGCATGACATACATGCATGCATGTTTCATGCGCGCCTGCTTTCTTATTAGTAGCACTGCCGAATAAATATAAGCTGATGATACTCTATATCGTCATCTATTGATTTTGTATATCAGACGGCCGAGATTAGCTAAGACATCCGCAGGACCGATCCAGCATCCATTGACCGCAAATAATTATCCTTGCATTCCATTGGCCTCCGTACGTACCATGCCATGGACCATGACCCATCAGATTCAAATATGATGAGCGAATTTGATTCATGGTGGTCTTGTGGTCCAACATGAGCGACGCCGTGACGCCGTGACATGTGGCTGCCCCTGCCCTTGCCTGAGCGATGGAGGTGAGTCCGTTGCCACTTGAGCGGGGCGTGAGGGAACGACACACATCGTCGGTAGTAGAGTGGTCGTTGCGCTGGGCAAACATATTTAAGGTTAAATATTTGTCATAAATTATAAGGTATTCTGAGTTTTGCTTAACCTATTCCATACGTGTATGCCTTTTAAACCACATTCATGCTTGCCTTTTAAATATCATCTCATGCACAATGACTTCTATAATATGTAGCTGAAGCTGCTCATGGAGCCAAATAAAAAAAACCTTGTCCACGAGTGAAGCATGGTTGTACCAAATGGGGCCTTAAGTTAGACAACCAAACTCCAATTAACTAGAAGCATACTTTGTGCATTGCTGCGGGAATTATGGATTAGTGGATTGTGTGGTATGATGACGTGGACAACAAAATGCGTATGTGTCTTACTGACGTGGACATTACAATTGCATGTGCTAGTTGATTTTAATTGTATGTGATAGTGCATTGCCTAGTTGGATAGCTTGCATGTTGAGATAAATAGCTAGTGGGTTTTTGCTTTACAAGAGTATAAGATAAGATGAGAGACAAGTTAATGTTTTGCTAGACTTCTTAACTGGTCTTAAAATTGCTCGTTGTATTTTAGACATGCTCCCTTCGACCTCTTTTATGTGTGTCGTTCTCTCATATCGATGAGTCTAACGTACTCAACCCACATATATACAAGATATTATTATTATTTATGGTGCGTAATAAATATCATTAGATTAACTATAATTTTTTTATAGTACATTTATTTGGAGATACAAATGTCACTGATGTTTTTTCTATAAATGTATTGAAACTTAGCACAAAAATCTAGACAACACTTAAAAGGGGATAGAGGGAGTAGTGAGCAAGTAGTTAGTTAGTATTTTTTTTCTCTAATACGTAAAAGATTTTTACCTATCATTATATTAAGTAGTAGAGTTTAAACATACAGACAACGTGTTTCTATCGAGCGCCAAAGGAGGTCGACCTAAACCAGCCGTAGCTGGACCATCCTAGCAAAAGACCTCTAATTTCGATATTACATAAATGAAAAACAACTAAAACCAACGCAGTGGTGCGACCTAGGAGGTGGCATTGCGCCTTCGCGGCTGTCTAGACGGGCCCTTACCACCGTTCGGAAAAGAGCGTATCAAATGCTTTGACGTTGAACGCAGTCAGGTTGCCGTCGAAGATCTCGTCAAAGGCCTCCAGCTCTAATGTTGATGACGATGATGGTCCTTTGGTGGAGCCCATACGCTGTATCATCAGCACCTCACCTCACTTTGAAGCATGTACTCGAGAGAGGCTCTGAGCTACCAACCGCCTGCCAGTTAGTTAGTATAATTTATAAAAATAGTAGTTAGTTAGTATATAAAAAAAAGGTGTGTAGCAGTATTAGTAACCCACCAAACAGTAAAGTCAAAGGGAGAAGTAACCTACAGTGAGTGGCAGCATGGATGCTAGATGCATGGCATGGTGGTCCTGTGGTCCAAGATGAGCATGCAGGCAGGCAAAAGCAGCTACGGCTGTACTAATCATGGAGCACTGAGCAGGTAGCTGCACGTCGTCGATCCCTGCAGCAGCAGGCGTCAGGCGAGATGAGTCGTGGTTTGTTTGGCTTATAAATTGTACTTTTTAAAGTTAACGAATAATATTTTTTTTCTAACAACAAATTAACTAACGGTACTTTCAGCCCTGATTTATCTGTCAAACGAACGGAGCAAATTGTGAGAGACTGAGATCACAGATCAGAGCACCTGCTGCAGCGCATTTCCGTATTGCCGTGCACGAAGCAGCCGTTGCGGCCGTCGCAGGGGACAGCGTGACGACAGGAGCTCAGGATCTGATTGGAGCGAGCGCGCGGGACCCACCCAGGCAGCTGGTTTCAGGCTCTCCTTCGATTCGAGTTGACCAAGGTAGGGGAGTAGCAACCACAAGCAGGCACGTCCTCCCTCCCCCGCCGTCGTCACCAACCAACCACGACCACGCATCGCCGTCGTCGCCGACCCGGCCGGTGGTTTCCAAACCACCACCACGCGCTCTTTTTTTTTACTAGATTGTTTAGATCACCACCACCACTACCTAAATGGCTAAAACCTCCTCTTTCCTTGGTTCTTAACCCCTTTCGTTCAAACGCACGCACGGCCGTTTCCTTGCTAATCCTTCCTTTCTCCATTTCTTTTCTCTATCTCTGCTCGCGGT